GCCGTATTTCCTGCGCCAGAGCGGTCCATGAGGCGTCTATGCTTATATTATGTCTATGTCTGAAACTGCATGGTTCATTGTAATTAGTTAGATAATGACCTGACATTTTACATTGTAATTCTCAATCCTGCCACAGGAGGGAGCGTCCGGCGATCCGGGCCCAGAATCTTAGTCCATTCATTTCAATGAGGCTGAAAAATTCCTAAAAAGCTGAATATTATAAAAAGTATAAAGTTTATGAATACCAGAAAATATAGCCAGCATTAGCAGAACAAGCTGAATAGTATAAAAGTTGAATAGTAAAAATACACGATACAGAAGAACCCGTGTGCCAAAAAATGTCTGGTCTGTTCTGCGCACGACGGATTCTGAGGTTCTGCTTCTCTTACAGGCCCACCTATGGCCACGCTGGCGCCGTCCACCAGGGGGCGATCTACATCTCTGGGGGTCACGACTTCCAGATCGGGCCATACCGGCGGGACGTGCTGAGCCTAGACCTGGCCCGGCCCGGCGAGGCGTGGCGGAACCGCCCGCCCATGTCCGTGGCCCGCGGCTGGCACCGCATGGCGTCCCTGCGCCACCTCGTTTACGCCATCGGGGGCAGTGACGACCATGCCGACACCGCCGAGCGCTTCGACATCCTGGAGGCCGAGTTCTTTGACCCACGGTCAGATCAGTGGACCCGGGCGGCGCCACTACTGCGGCCCGGCAGCGAGGCGGGCCTGGCGGTCTGGGCCAGCAGGATCTATGTGCTGGGCGGCTACAGCTGGGAGAGTGCCGCCTTCTCCCGGGTCACGCAGGTGTTTGACCCAGATGCCGGGTTCTGGTCCCGAGGACCCGACTTGCCCATGCGCACCGCCGGGGCCGCCGCCTGCGTGTGCACTGTCAGGGCGGAACCGCCGCGTCCGGAACCAGAGAAGAAGAAGCCGGGCCGAAGAGGCGGGAGCGAGTCACCACCTTAGTAGCGCCGATTCTGCTGCTGTTGGGTCAGAACCACAAGTTCTGCTCTAACCATTATGCACATTTTAATCTTAATTTAGAACCAGGCCCAGTTCATCTACTGGGACGGATCGGGTCAGGTCCACCCAGCTGCCGTTTAACCTTTATTGATCCTTGCAGAGATGCATTCAAGACTTTTATTGTGAAGGAGCAGAAACAGGAAGCCAGCTTCTTCAGATTTATTTGTCATCAAAGGAAGAAACAATCTGATCAGATGTTTATTTTATAAAATGTTCCAGGAGAACTAAAGCGTTGCAGACGGTTCTGTTCCGGACCGGTGCAGAACCACAGAAGGAAGCGGGTCGGGAGGTCCAGACAGAACCAAGGAGGTTTTGAAACCTTCTGGTTCGGTGGTTCTGGGTCTGAGGTCAGAACACCCTTTCTTTTTCAGCTCTAAGCAGAAACTCAGGAAGAATCAAAAAGTATAAAAAACGAACGAGTTGGATCTGGCGGTTAATCAGAACCAACCAGAACCAGCCAGACTAAACTGTTACTCTCCAGAGGCGTTTATGTTCTCAGTACTGTAATAAAAGCATCAGAACCACCAGAACCGGGTTTTCGTTTCAGATCGGGTCACGCTGTTCTTCATCTTCATCATGCAGTCCAGGTGGCTCCGCCCCCTCCGTCACTCGAATGGGTAGTAGGGGTGGGACTTGATTCTGAGGAACACAACCACAGTCAGCATGTGGACCCGAGCAGCCGGGTCCGGTTCTGCTTCTGACTCACTCATCCAGAGCGCAGGCCTTCCAGCCGCGGTCCAGGCCTCTCAGGGCGTCCATGTCGTCTTCGCCGAGGTCGAAGTCGAAGACCTGCGAGGTTCAGGCTGGGTCAGAACCTCAAGGAGTACTGGTAGAACCGGGTCTGTTTTCCCAGAGGAACCAGAGAGCCTCGCCCGGCGGCGCCGAGTCGGGGAAAATCTATGATGGAGGCCTGCGTAGCGACGGGGTCGGCCTGCTTAGCGACGGGGTCGGCCTGCTTAGCGACGGGGTCGGCCTGCGTAGCGACGGGGTCGGCCTGCTTAGCGACGGGGTCGGCCTGCTTAGCGACGGGGTCGGCAGGCGCGTCTCGCCTCCTGGTTTGCCCCAGTCGCTCTCGGTGGCTAAATGATTCTCTGGCAGGAAGCTTTGGGCCAAGGCGGGAGCTCTCTGGGAGGATCTGAGGAAACGGTCCTAGGAGCGGTTCTGGACCGGTTCTCTTGGCTTCTACCTTGCTGTTCTCCAGGATGTGATGAGGTTTGTCACTTTTAGGAATGACTGGGATTCCCTGCTGCACATGAAACCTCAGCAGAACCTGCAAGGACACGACTCTGGTCAGCACACACCCTGCAGCGCGCGCACACACACACACACACTAGGGATGTATAATATTGATTCTACGATATGTATCTATATTTTCCACCCTCGGAGTGTATTGATTTTTCATCTGCGAGTATCGATACGTTAGACCATAGTGGTCCGTAGCCATATAGCGTCTTTTTAACATGTCTGGTATGTTAGCAGCCAGACTCCGCCTCCCCCAGTCTCACTTCCAACTCGAGCTTAAAGTGCACACTATAAACTACACACCAGTTTTTAAATTGTGTTAATGAGCCAAGTAAAACCAGAGTTATGATAAAATTAGTAAACCATATTTTTCTGGCTTTTCCGGTTATGTGAGACGGAATGAGCTTCCAAACGTAAAAAACGAAATGCAACATTAAATTCCTGTGTTTTTGGAAATCTCAAATCTTCAATAAATAACAATGGGATGGATTTTGTTGCGGAGAGATGAAGTAAAGTTGCGCAAGTAACCGTGAAAGAGAAGCAGAACGGAGCAGCGCCAAAACCAGTGAGATTGCGGAATTAATGCAAAGTTCGACTGCTGCCATCCACTTCGTAATTAGTTTTTAGCTTATAAAGGATTACCTGAAGAATGAACACGCAGCAGCAGCGGCTCTGTTTGGAGCTGGAACACGAAGAGTATCAGAGACTGAGAGAACGATGAGATCCTGGCTGTCTGAGAGGCAGATACTCAGAGAGCCAAGCAGGGGAATGGCGGCGCTGCGCAGCTGCACAGAGTCGATCACTGGGTGAGGCGGAGCCACTACCCCAGCAGTTAGTAGTAAACAGCTTACAGCCAGGGCTAACTTCGAGAGCCAAGGTAGAAAAGCCTTTTCCCTTTAGTCCAAAAGACTTTTTTACTCCAAAATGCAGCCACAGTATGTCCAGAAGAAAACATTTGCATATTGAGTTTACAGAGGCTGATAATCTCCCCACTCTGCTCCTGGATCACTGTTGAAACTTTGAGTTTTATGTCAAATCCACATGAAGTAAATGACAGAAACTAATTTTCTCATTGTGTCTTTGATTCATTTTGTCCAGCTGTTTAGACTCTGTCCAATCAGAGGCAGGTATTGTGTAGTTGGTGCTTTTAATCACTTTTCAGTTAATTAAATTATCTATGGAACATAAAATGTCACTAAAATCACTCTGTCCTTCTAAAATCTTTCAGAAAATCGTAAAAATGCATCTAATTATATTGCTTGACAAATATTGTATCGTGATCAGAATATCATCGATCGTATCGTGAGATTATTGTGCACCCCTAACACACACCCTGCAGCGCACACACACCCTGCTGACCTGTGCCGGGCTGCGGCGGTGCTTCCTTGCAATGTCAGCGACCACAGGGTCCTGCAGCAGCTTGTGGGGGTCAGCCTCGCCTCTCTTCCTGCAGCAGAGCAGATAAATAAAGTCAGGTAATCTTGGAGGAAAACCCTCAGCACTCTAAACCTGAAGAACCATTTTAACCTTTAAAATGGTTAAAGGGAAGGAACTCCCCTGTGTTTCCCCCCACGAAGTTTGGAGCTTCAGCAGGAAAGGTTAACAGCGCCATGTGTGGTTTCAGAGAAAAATGGAGCTTATTTCTGCCGAATACATTAAAAATATATCGACTTCCGCTTCCGGTATGCCTGAACTGACACGCTTACAGAGCGCGCTCTGACCTTAATACCTTAAATTGCTGTAAATCCACCGATCTAGAAGACTATCATATTGACATACTCACAAGACGACCACAGGAGAACCCAAAGCAAAGAAGTATTAAAAGCAGCGAATACTTAGCTGAGAAATGCGCTAACAGAGCTCCATAAATTTCGAGAGGAGTCTGAAACCGCACAGCGAAACATCATGGAGTCTCAAACACGGGTGGAGACTTTGGTTGGAGAAATAAAAGAATCGAGGAGAGAGAAAGAGTAGTAGCTAATCACCTGAAGGGACGCCGGTGTTACGTCAATCCGCGTTTCCCCATCAGATACGGTTCCCCCCTTAGACATAATATAAGGATAGACCCTCATGGACCGCT